GCAAATCAGCAATATTTTGTTGTCAGAATGGATTGCATAATACAAATGACAGCAACATTGCAACACAATGACAACAAAAATTTGTCCCCATCAATCTAGATTGCCAGCATGTCCTCTTTTTATTCAAAATATTGTGTCACAAGAAAATTTCAGTAGTTTTGATACCTCAGGCTGACTCATATAACAAAACTATTTTAAAGTATCAACCAAAACTGACCATATTTGCACTTAATTATGTAAATCTATATAGCCGCATAGTAAATCAGCAATATTTTGATGTCAGGATGGATTGTATAATACAAATGACAGCAACATTGCAATACAATGACAACAAAAAATTTGTCCCCATCAATCTAGATAGCCAGCATGTCCTCTTTTTATTCAAAATATTGTCTCTTAAGAAAATTTCAGTAGTTTTGATACCTCAGGCTGACTTGTATAACAAAATTATTTTACAGCATCAACCAAAACTGACCATATTTGCACTTTTAATATTATGTATATCTATATAGCCACATAGTAAAGCAGCTATATTTTATTGTAAGAATGGATTGTATAATACAAATGACAGCAACATTGCAACACAATGACAACAAAAATTATCCCCATTAATTTAGATTGCCAGCATGTCCTCTTTTTATTCAAAATATTGTCTCGCAACAAAATTTCAGTAATTTTAATACCTAAGGCTGACTAGTATAACAAAATTATTTAAACGCATCAACAAAAACTGACCATATTTGCACATTATTATGTATATCTATATAGCCACATAGTAAATCAGCAATATTTTGATGTTAGGATGGATTGTATAATACAAATGACAGCAACATTGGAATACAATGACAACAACAATTTGTTCCCATCAATCTAGATAGCCAGCATGTCCTCTTTTTATTCAAAATATTGTCTCGCAACAAAGTTTCAGTAGTTTTGATACCTCAGGCTGACTCGTATAACAAAATTATTTAAACGAATCAACCAAAACTGACCATATTTGCACTTTATTATGTAAATCTATATAGCCGCATAGTAAACAACAATATTTTGATGTCAGAATGGATTGCATTATACAAATTAAATGACAGCAACATTGCAACACAATGACAACAAAAATTTGTCCCCATCAATCTACATGTAGATAGCCAGCATGTCCTCTTTTAATTCAAAATATTGTCTCGCATGAAAATTTTAGTAGTTTTGATACCTCAGGCTGACTTGTATAACAAAATTATTTTAAAGCATCAGCCAAAACTGATCATATTAGCACTTTATTATGTCATGTATTTAAATCTATATAGCCGCATAGTAAATCAGCATATAGCCGCAAAGTAAATCAGCAATATTTTGATGTGAGGATGGATTGTATAATACAAATGACAGCAACATTGCAATACAATGACAACAAAAATTTGTCCCCATCAAGCTAGATAGCCAGCATGTCCTCTTTTTATTCAAAATATTGTCACGCAAGAAAATTTCAGTAGTTTTGATACCTCAGGCTGACTCGTATAACAAAACTATTTTAAAGTATCAAACAAAACTGACCATATTTGCACTTTATTATGTAAATCTATATAGCGGCAGCCGCATAGTAAATCAGCAATATTTTGATGTCAGGATGAATTGTATAATACAAATGACAGCAACATTGCAATACAATGATAACAAAATCTTGTCCGCTTTAATTTAGAGTGCCAGCATTTCATCTCTGTATTCGTTATATAAAACTGTCACTAAAGTCAGTATCAGTATCTGTAATTCCCACTTCCATGACTTCTGAATATGGACGGGTACATCACAGATTCCTTTTGGGCTATTGTGTGATGGGTTGGTCTGCGCATAAATTAGTCGTGCTTGCTGAGGTGTGATGATTTAAACTCAGTAGTTCAGGATGGTTTGTATAATAAAACTATTCCACCTCATCATCCAACAGTGTGACTGACATGACAGATTTCATTTGTACTTTATAATGAAAAGTATGAGAAGTTCTCTTCTAGGAAAAGTATACTGTTAGTATATTATGTCGGTTGGTTGATTTTGTTGGTGGCTAAATATCAAGTGGCAAATATTTCATTCCGTTTCACATAAGTATATTTTTTCGGACGTTCAAGATATAATTTATAATCCGTAAAGACAAATCTAACGAAATTGACGAGATTGTTCATAATTATACAACACCTTATGTGCAATAACACTGTACAATTTTCCTTTGAACATTTTTTGGAAAACAGAATCGTAAATCCAAGGCAAACATAGGTGAATGACGATAAGATATTTATAAAGATACTGTCAAAAGTGGGGAACGAAGCAACTTTAAAAATGATGTTGATAACCCGTGATATAAAAATACTGTTCCGATGCGTGGATAACCTTTCTATCCGCCTTCTAGTTTAAATAAAATCCTTTCTTTTATGATAACTGCATGTGATCACAAGTGTGTAATTTTAAAGTAAATAAGAATATGAAAAAAAAAGATTTTTTAATATGTGTATATTAAATATATATGACATAGAGTCTAACGAGTAAAGTAATTTGCTTTACTGGGAAAAAAGAACAATAGGATTATTACAGGGCTGCCAACATTTTGTAATCAGAATGAGTGAGATTTTCACGGCATTTGCACGGCATTTGTACGCGACAAAATAGTATCTTACAATAAATGCTAGGTGTTTGATATTTTTCGAAATTCATACAAAGAAGTACTGGAGGGAACTTTGAACTTACCTGAAAATGAACTTTAAAAAAGGATGCAATTTCAATACTTTGTCAAATTGCCAAACATTTACTAGTATATTTTGTTTGTTTTCATGAAGATTTTTTTGTTGTTGCCTATGTTTTTGTGTTTGAAACTTTTAACTAGTACTGATTAAAGAATGTGATATTTGTATCAAAAGAAAAATAAAGTATAAAGCAAAATAAAACATACTTTATAATATAAAAAAAACAATTATATATTATATCTATTACATTGAAAAACAACAAATAACAAGTAAATGAGTCCTGAGTACACAGAATCCCCCACAATCACTTCTATTTTCCATTTTCATTGAACCATGAAATTGGGGTCAACACCCTAATCTGACATACAATTTAGAAAGATTTAGATGGGGCATAAAAAGTGCAACTCTTCAACAAAGAAGTGATTAATTATTATTTCAATGTTCTTTGTTGTATTTAGAAGTTGCTGATTTTGAATCAGCTAAAACTTTCTTTGGTGGTTCAAACTTATTGCAGGGCTCTGGAACTGCCATTTTAATTGTCAATAAACTACTTAAAGTCTGTTCCAGCTCAAGAGAGTCCCTGAAATCAGTTTTGTTTTGCCTTATGAATGAAAAAACTCTTTCTTCGTCTGCATTAGAATGAGGCAATGTTGCAACAAGTGTTGCAACAATACCCAATCTTTTAAATCTTAGTTGACCACTAAGGCTACATTTCATATTCAACAGAAATGCCCACAATACATCAGGTCTATAGAAATCAATGTTGTTTTCTCTCAATGCAGCCTCTTTCCAGACAAAACTTGGAATTTCACTGTCTGACATTGTTTGGTAGTCAACAAACTCTTCATTTAAACATTCTTGATCATGTGGGCTTTTTATTCCAATTAAATGTTCAAATCTGAAAAATAGTAGTATACAAATTTTACTTTTTTCCATACAATCTTTAGTAAGATAATGATAATTAAAGACATATGGGTCAATTGTCACATTTACTATCAGAATAAGATTACACAAATAACACTTATCATAACTGTTTACCTTACAACCCAGCAGGCACACAACATTGATTAAACATTGAATCAATGTTTATTTTCTATGTTGAATCAATGTTGAATTATTATTAGATTTTGCAAATTTGTATCAACGTTGAAATGCTATGTTGAATCAACGTTGATGTTCAACTTTGAATCAATATTGAATAATGGTTGCTTCAACATTGTTTCAACCAACTACTAAATTTGAATTTAGATTGAATTCAGGGTGAATACCATATTTTATAAAACAATCAACATTGAGTAAAGATTGTTTCAACTAATAACTGGTTGATTTCAGATTGATAAAAAGTTTTTAAAAGTTCTGTGTGATATTCAACGCTGAATCAACATTGGTTAGTGGTTGTGTTCAACTTTGTTGCAACCTAGGATTTAAGTTTAATTCATCCTGTATTTTCTGCATGTTGCTTTCCATAATATTAAAGTGTAGCAACTTTAATATCAGACATTCGAGATGCATAAATACATATTCAAGCTAAGACATCTTCTCAAAGGCAATAAATCTCATAGCAGTATTCTGCTGCAGGAAACATTCTCCAATAACTGCTCCATCAGACCAAAGTATAAAAGATGGATTGCTGAATTCAACAAACATTAGTCTTCAGGAAATTGAGACACTCTTGCTATTGTATACAAGTACTCAAAATCAAATTCTGACAATAAACCATAAAATCTCAAATCATATTGAATGATCATATTTTACATAATATGGGCTTTTGCTCATTGTTAAAGACTGTATGGTGCACAAAAAGTCAAATAGATGTCATTGATTGACTGTCAAGTTACTCGAAGAGGATCAGTAATTTTCAACAATAAAACTGAACACATTCAACTGTAGAGAGCATGGCTTGACCGCCAACAACCAGTCAACCCAATAAAAAATATGAGTGTTTAGGGTTTAAGAGCCATATTTTTTTGTACCAAGCCGTAGATTTTATCAACATTAGACAATTAAAAAACACAAATTACTTGCCCAGAGAAATATTGAAAAAATCAGCAAAATAAAAAACATATTCCTATACTGACCTATCCTAATTCTTAAACCACATCCGGGGATACAAATATATTTTGCCTATATATAATGTCTTTTTTAAATAAGTGATGAAAATATATGAAACAAAGTTTGCTGTTCCTAACCCATGTATTCTAATGTCCAATCACTGATTATAGAGAAATATTCAATACGAAAAAATTTAAAATAAATTTATTTATCAATACAACTATAAAAAAAGACAACAACATCCTGGATTACTCACAATAATTGATTTGACATCATTAAAATGAAAGTGAACGTAAAAGTAAAAATTGTCAGTTTCTTTTCCAAAATGGACACCTCACTAGACATTCTGTTTTAACTGGCTTCACTCTGAATGAGGTACTAGACTTCCAATTGCATCGATTATTTATTTGTATCTAAAAATTCTACTTCTTTCTCCCCCCACCACCCCGTCTATCTGGAGCCCATTTTAAATAGTTTGCTGCTTTGTCAGAAACTTCTTGTTCTGTTACTCCATGAGTCTTCATGATGACATCTACAAAATCAAAAGTTATAACATTGTCAAGTTTAATTCTGTTCAACACATTTAACTATTATTATAACTTCATAAATATGATAAAAGTATATAAATCATAAGCATCAGAACTGGTGAAAACTGTCATCAAAGTCTCAACTATATTTCTTTTCATATAGAGCAGAAGGAATAAACTTCAAGACAATCCTACATACTGCATTTTAATTTGAACAAATTGAAGACTTATCCACATGTTTTTTTCTGTATTTCTTGTGCTGTTGCATGGATATCAGTCTTATTGACATATACCTTCATCTTTGATTTCCCTGTCAAAACACTACATTAAATTTTGAAGGCCATTCAAATTCAATGTTTTCTCGTGCTCTTTTATTTCTATTTAAAATTAGGGCTGTTCCAAAAATAAATGTATGGGGGGAGGAAGGCAGATTTTATTTGGCCCCACCATGCATACATCATAAATTGGATATTTCATTTTAATGTTCAAGCAATCTTTCTAACCACCACCCATCAAATTTTAATAAAAGTGCCTTCCTCCCCCTACCCACCTCATACAATTAATTCTGTTCTGATGGGCAATTTTTATTTTATTATATAGGAAAAATGAAAATTCTAATTGTTTGTGTCATTTGCTATAATCAAAATTAACAAGTGAAAGTGTGAGCTACTGCTTACTGATGATACCCCCACCCAAATATTTCGATAAACAGGAAGCTGTTGAGTGATGAATCTGAAAAGGCATCACACAGTATAGCTGATATAATTAAAAAATGATGGAGCACTTTTTGAGGCTTCAATCAATAAATTACAAGATTCATCCAACCTGTTTCAAAAACCTGGGCAATTGTTTTGCCCTGCTTGGTAATTATTACCTTAAAATACATAAAAAAAGCACAAAATTAGATAAAAATAAAAAACATGGTGGGGAAAATTCCTAGAGGCTCTCAAGAGCCTGTGTCGCTCACCTGTATTTACTGATGCTTTGGAAATCATGTAAAATAAGGTTAAAATCATAATTAATAGTATTAGATATTAGATATTATAATGATATCTAAGATAATAACAAAAAACTGCAAAATTTTTGTAAAATTACTAACTCAGGGGAAGCAACCCAACAACGGGTTGTTGGATTCGTCTGAAAATTTCAGGGCAGATAAATCTAAATCTGATGAACATTTTTGCCACCTGTCAGATTTGCTCTAAATGCTTTAGTTTCAGAGATATAAACCAAAAACTGCATTTTACCCCTATGTTCTATTTTTAACCAAGTTGGCCATGATGGTTGGAAGGCAGGGTCATCGGACAAATTTTTTAAACTAGATACCCTAATAATGATTATGGCCAAGTATGGTTAAATTTGTCTCAGTAGTTTCAGAGAAGAAGATTTTTGTAAAAGATTACAAAAATTTACGAAAAATTGTTAAAAATTCACTATTAAGGGCAATAACTCCTAAAGGGGTCGACTGACAATTTTGGTCATGACAACTTACTTGTAGATCTTACTTTGCTGAACATTATTGCTGTTTATATTTTATCTCTATCTATAATAATATTCAAGATAATAACCAAAAAATACAAAATTTCCTTAAAATTACCAATTCAGGGGCAGCATCCCAACAACAGGTTCTCAGATTTGTCTCAAAATTTCAGGGCAGATAGATCTTGACCTGATAATCAGTTTTATCCATGTCAGATTTACTCTAAATGCTTTGGTTTCAGAGATATAAGCCTAAATCTACATTTTACCCCATGTTCTATTTTTGGCCATGGCGGCCATCTTGGTTGGTTGGCGTGGTCATCGGACACATTTTTTAAACAAGATACCTTTGGTTAAATTTGGTCCAGTGGTTTCAGAGGAGAAGATTTTTGTAAAAAGCTAATGACGACGACGGACGACGGAAGCCAAGTGATGAGAAAAGCTGACTTGAGGTAAAAAGAAAATGAGAAATTAATTTATTGTGGCAAGAGTTGCTGGCGCTAGTGATTGAAAAACAGACATTTTTTCTATGGTATAAATCATAAACATATGATAATTTTACTGGTAAATAGACATATAAAAGATAGTTTCTGAATCATTGACATTCACCCCACATGCATTTTTTTTGGCAAATTTTCATACTAAACAAAATATATATAAATACCTTTCAGTAATTTAAAAACATTGGACTTCCCAAATGAATATTTTTCCATTTTCCCTGACATATTAATCTTTGCCATTAATTTATTTGTCATCAATCTGCAAATAATCAATAATGGAAAAGTAAGTTGAAATATACATGTAGGGCTATATTAAATGGACATGCATGGTGAAACTCCTTTTTTGTTTTGTCACTTAAGTATACATCTGTATTGACTATTAATAAAGAAGGATATACACATATATAGATTTGCAAGTACAAGAGACAATTATCCCCAAAAATACTAGGTAATAACCATAAATCAACAAAGTTAACACAAATAAAATATAAAAATTATTGAAAAGCAATATTCCAAATCCTGTCCATTATTTCATTGACTGACCCTTAATCAACTGAAACACTTTCAATTTGTGCTTCGTAAACCTGATACAACATACAAAACATCTTATATTTAAAACTTATAAGCTAATGATAGTTTTGCTGTAAAACAGCATAAATTGATGTCTTATGTAGATAAAACATGCTTCAAGTCGGATATCTTAGGTTCTTTATATTGTAAAATTACCTTTCCATGGATTTCTTTATGTGATCTCCATAATCACTTCCCCCTATTTTTGCAACTGTGGCTCGCTATAACAAATTGAAAATATAATCATGATTAATCATTAAAGGCTTAACATGAATATACAAATCTTGTTTGTTCCTGGTAGACAAAATGTCATAGCATAATACTTAGTCATGTCAATTATAAATAACTTTAAATGAATTATCTTAGTTGAAATTTGGACAACTTGTCATTCAACCAATACATTAAATCTGTTGTTATCAACATATATATAACACAAATAGATTTGTTTGTCATTCTTGAAATCTCTTTTTTTCCCTTTCTTTTTTATGTACTTTCTGCCGCAATATAATCTAACAAAATTTGAGATATAAAAGTAAAGAACTATCTTCTATATATTGACCTTGTGCTTGTAATCTTTTGTTTTATTTCAATAATATCCATTACAGGTCCTCTTATTTTTTGAAATATTGTTCTTAACTGTTTGATAATAAACGTTTATAATCATTCATTTGCAACAATGTAGGAAATGGGATAGTGTAATCTCAATAGTTCAATATGATCTACTTACACAAAGATCAAACTATCTCTTGTCATTGAGAGACCTCAGTTGCGGAGACTGTCTTGCTCTTTTTTTACTGACGTTTGACAAAACATCAGAGGTTTTTCTGGTACCTGAAAAGAGTACAAAAGGCTAAAATTACAATAAAGTTTGTTTGCCCTCTCCCCTGTCTGGTCTTAAAAGAAAATCCCCTTTCTCAGAGTTTATTTTGTGATTTCATGCCAAAATCAAATCAATTTTGAATCCTTGAAAAGTTAAAAACATTCTTTTTTGAAAAATGGGTCCCTTCCTGTATTTTACAAGACATTGGCAAATTTAATCAATTGTTGCAGTTGATTAAACCTGGCAAAAGTTTTCTTGTGCTTATTTGTTTATGTATATATATAGATCTGAAATTTACCACTTGGATTCATTAAAACATTCCTTAAAATATTTTACAATTGTAAATTAGATTATTGTATTGCATGCACGAGCAATTACGACCTTCTAATTATCTTTCCGATATTTAATAATAATAATTAGTATACAGATACAACGGAAAAGTCCAACAAAAACTGATATTAAAGAAACTTACCCTGATCTCTATGAACCTCTGCAGCAACTGTAATAGCTGAAGATTGTGGAGGAGGAGGAGGAGCAGGAGGAGCAGGCATGCCTTTTTTCTGACCTGATGGTGTTGAGTTTTCAGAAGATTTTTTTGTTGGTTCATTATTCTTACCACTTGAATAGTCTGTAAATGAAAATTATGTGTCTTTCAGATGAATGAAATTTAGTAACATAACAACTCCCAGGTATCTATTAAAATTTTGCTATAAACTGAACTGAATTTCTGTTAAAGGTAATTGTAAAACTATTTTTTATCAGTTAATGATTGAGGTCCATTGAATGCATCAACTTTGACGTAAGATTAATATGTAAAATGTACATAATTTTGCATCTTGATGTGCAAGAAACCATATCAAAATTTTGTAAATAGTATGCAAAACTTGGCTGGTTTTTGGTATGCATTTTCACATTTTTACTTTCAAGTCAATATTGATAAACATTGGATGAGTTTAGGTTATATAAAAATACAAACATTGGAAAGATTGAAAGACATACAATAACTGTAATAACCAATATTAGTTTGGAAGATTTTTATATAGAAATATTGGTGTTAAAAAAAATATACCTGTTTGAAAATCACTGCCAAAGTTCTTTTTCTTTGATTTTCTTCTACCCTCAACTTCTTCTACTTGGTCTTCTTCTTCATCTTCTGTAGCTGTTGTAATGTTGTGGTCTTCACATTCTTTTTTGTCGTCTACATTTAGAATAAATTAATATAAAGGTATAGCAAGTATAAATTGGTAACATAATTATGTGAAATTGTATTTAATCCTTAAAACTTTGTAAAATGTAATAATGTATACAGCTATAAAATCTAGCAGTCATGTTGGGTAAATCTGGTACATACAACAATTAGTTGAGACCTGTTCAATTTATGCATTCAAAGGTTTCAAGAAAATATTTTACTCTGTGAACAGTTTTTTGCTGGCTTCATCCACAATCTTAGATAAAATATATCAGCACTAAATATAAAATGGCCTTCATGAAGTTGAACTATAAACTTACCAGATGAGGTTTTAATTTTTACCAACTCAAAATGGTCCCAACTACAATGAGCATCTTTGGGACTCCATTTTTCCATAATGGCCTTCAGTGCTGTAGTATATGAAACTCTTGGCCAATAAACCTTTTTCCCAATAACCCAGCTGGAAGGGATGACCTCTTCCTCCTCCTTGTCAGATTCCTTCCAAACTGCCCTGCACCAAGTTTTACCAGCCATTATGATGAAGCTACAAAATAAAACAAAATAAAAAATGTTTTGGAACTATACATATATGTACCTATGTGTACATGTTGAATGTTAATCATGCAAAACTTGTCATGCAATCAGTCAAAAACTGTTATCAGTTAATCATTTCATTGCCTTTCATTTTTCAGTTTTGCAATCAAAATAATCTAAGTTCTACTTTTTGTCAGTTAGTTAAAAATATCATGCAAATTTAAACATGCATGTACATTTTTACATGTGCATTTGTACATGTATACTAGTTAAGTTCTATTATGTACTTTTTCCATAATAAATTGCAATTAGATTTTCAAAGCTGAATTATTTTTTTTAATGGGTGTTCAGATGGAGTGCACTTTGTGAAAATCTATGTGCATTATATGTATTTATATAAATAAATTGCAAGTGTAAAAAAAAAATTCTAAATTCTGTACAAGGATAACAAAAATACATGTATGTAAATGTATTTGGCAATTAATCACAGATTATGTTTTTCAATTCATTACAAAAGATGAAATTAATCATGTATGGTAGATATGTGCATTTGCCTGTCATGGTTTTCACTTATTTTTTTTTTTAATGTATTGCTTTTTTAACAAAATAATGTCATGATATGTATTCATGTCGATTTTATTTATAATAGTTAGTTTATCTACCTGTAGAAACACATAAACCTATTATAAAACTAAGAGAAATGTTCTTAACCTGTCATTAGATTCCTTCTAAGAAATTTTTACCACAGTTAAGTGGATATGTTCACCATCGTTCCATCCCATGCAGCATAGGCAGTAAAAGAGAGTGTCTTTCATATGGAAGGCAAACAACTTTCTTTTGGATGTCGTCATTATCCACCAAAATTCGTCTGAATTGTCTTTGGTTATTTCTCAATACAAAAATATTCAAAATCTTTGAATTGCACGGATTTTCAAAGAAATTCTCTAAACTGTTTTGACTTATCACATCACACAGGTAGGTCTTATTTTCCCTCTTTTCCCTTACAAACACAAATGTTTTATTTTTTAACAGAAAACAACTATCTTTTTTCCTTTTAGAAATAAAAACATGGATTGTTCTGGGTTTTCTTCTGCATTTGGATTTTTCCATTTCCACAATTCTTTTTGCAACTTGTGCAATTGGATTTTGAGGCTTCCTTACACTTTTTTTCAGTTTAAATAAATGATTTTCAAATTGAAAAGCATTTATTTCATTCAGTGAACTTCCAAAATGTTCAACATCATCTGCTAGATGCATCAACGAGTGAACATTGTACGACACAAATGTATCACTATATAAAATGGGAGCTGTTTTAACGAAATACACCAAAAGTTCTCGAGCATAGTCTAAATGTGCATTTCTGAAGTTGTCATCTGGTTCAAGAAGGATTGACATTCCTACTGTTAATGTCAAGAAATGATTGTATACCCTTTCAGTAACAACAGAACGCATAACCAAAGGGCCTGTATACAAAACAAACTGTCTAAATTCTGTTGCTTTCCATTTGTCCATATAATAAAGGGAACGAGGTTGTCGTGCAAATTCTCTTGGCAATTTTCCATTAAGAAAAGAAAGTTTATCCGATAAAATTGTCCACTGTTGGTGAGATAATCTGCATTCAAAGTCCCGGGGTCCTTGCCTAAGAAAAGTTAATATGCGCTTAACAATGCCAAGACAAACAAGATGCATATAATCAAACGGAAAGGATTGTATACAAGCTATTCCAGCATCAATTAAAGGTGACTTGGTTACTTGGTGATTTTTGTATTCATAATTTTTGAAGCCTTCTTCAGTTCTTAAAGGTGACATATCATCAGTTACTTTGAATACTACTCGGTTTTGACACCATATGCCTTTAATAGTGCATCTTTCACAAGCAAAATATGCATTATGGGATTTTATACATTTTACAAATGTTCTGGCTGGTGCATCGCATACAAAGGCACGGATTTTTACCCTCAGAACACCAATTTCTTCATTTACATTAATTCCATTCTGTTGCATGTTTGTGAATTCAGACAAAAAGTCATACAAATATTCACCAACAGGAGTTGGTTTAGAATCACTACAATAAACAGCGACAACAAATGGTTCAAACTTTTTTATACTGCATAATATTGGCCAAAGTTGAATACCAGATGATTTAAATAACGGAAGTCCATCTATATTTATATTCAATAAAATTTCATTCACATTTTTAAAATGATCAAGATTTTCTGAAATTACTTTTAACAAACCCGTTTCTAAACCAAGATATAAATAATCTCCTCCACATTTTTTAATGGTATTTATTGATCTTGGAGTTTTTAGAAGTGTTCTTGAATCTTTCGGAAGACGAAGGCCTTGTTTCCTCAATATCTCCAGTAGTGTATCTAGACTAGAACGAGTACATTCACTGCTTGTTGCCCAACCTGCTAAATCTGCTGCTAGATCTGGTATTTGTTCCTGCATATCATTGTCGTCAGATGTTACATTTTCACCAGAGTTATTTGAATCATACGAGTCTGCTGACCATCTTTCTTGCATGTACATGTCTTCCCTATCAGTATCAATACCATTTTCACTCTCATGATTAGCACCTCCAGTGCTGCTGTCATCATGTTCCTGGTTTCCAATAACATGCTCTTCAAAATTATCATGGTCAGTTGAATGTGGCGAAAAATCCTGATGGCTGTCAC